GTTCTCCTGGATAATATCCTGAAGTATGTTTTCCAAGTTGGTTCTATTCTGTCTTTCCCAGGTACTCCAGTCAATCATAAGTTCAGTCGTTTTACATAGTCCCATATTTCTCAGAGGTTCTGTTTGTTCCTTTTCATTTTTTTTTCTAATCTTGTCTGCATGCCTTATTTCAGCATGATGGTCTCCAAACTCTGATATACTTGCTTCCCCTTGGTCAATTCAGCTATTGATAATTGTGTATTCTTCATGAAGTTTTCATGCTGTGTTTTTGAGCTCCAGCAGCTCATTGATGTTCCTCTCTCAACTTGTTATTCTAGTTAGCAGCTCCTGTAACCTTTTATCAAGGTTCTTAGCTTGTTTGCATGGCGTTAAAACATGCTCCTTTAGCTCAGCAGTGTTTGTCATTACCCACCTCTGAAGCCTACTTCTGTCAATTCGTTCATCTTATCCTCCATCCAGTTCTGCACCCTTGCTGGAGAGACATTGTAATCATTTGGAGGAGAAGAGGCACTCTGGCCTTTTGGATTTTCAACCTTTTTTTTGTTGATTCTTTCTTATCTTCATGAGTTTGTCTAGTATCAATCCTTGAGGCTGCCGACCCTTGGATGGGGTTGTTCTGGGGAAATTTTTGTTGTTGATGCTGTTGCAATTGTTTTCTGTTTGTTTGTTTTTCTTACAAGGGTCAGGTCCCTCTTCTGTACGGCTGCTGTGGTTCGCTGGGGGTTCACTTCAGGCCCTGTTTATCTGGTTCACTCCCATGCCTGGAGATCTCACTTGGGGAGGCTGGAGAGCGGCAAAGATGGGTGCCTGTTCCTTCCTCTGTGATCTCTGACCTCGAGGGGCACCAACCTGATGCCAGCAGAAATGCTCCTGTGTAGTGTTTCCGACAACCCCTGTTGGAGAGTCTCACCCAGATGGGTGGTATAGGGAACAGGACTCATTCAAGACTGTTCCTTGGTGAAGGGGGTGTGCTTCACTGGAGAGAAACCCATTCATCTGGGCTGCCCGGATTCCTCAGAAATACCAGGAGGGAAAGCTAAGTCTACTGGTCCCTGGAGACTGTGACTACCCCTCCCCCTAGGGGCTCAGGCCCAGGGGGATTAGAGCTTCTGGCTGGAGTTGTTGGAGTTCCTGCAGGGAGGCTCTGCCCAGTGAGGAGGGATGTGTCAAGGTCTGGCCTGAAGAGGCCCTCTGTCCTCAGTCTGCCACAGCCAGCGTGTTGGGTTTTGGGCGATACCTCTTGGGACCAAGCTGTTCAGCCTCCCTGGAGCCAGCAAGGGAAAGGCATGGCCTGGGACTACAGAGATGGCTTTCACCCCTTCCCAACCCTGGAAGCTTAGTGTGTTAGCAGCTATCAGACCAAGTGTTGGCTGTTGCCCCTCCCTCAAGGAGCTCAAACTGCTTAGACAGCAGGCAGCTGCAGCTGTGGTGCTGGTCGCCCCTCCGCCCACGGGAGCTCAGCAGGATTAAGCAGATTCCAGCTTAGTGGCTGTTGAAAAATCTGTACAGCTCTGTGGTTGGGACCCTAGGCCCCAGTGGCAGTCTTCTGATCCGTGGGTTGCCCAGTTCCATGGAAAAAGCACATTTTCCCAGGCTGGGTAGCATGCTCACTGCCTCCCTTGGCTGGGGACCACCACACCACACTGCTCTTCCTTCCTCTCCGTGGGTCAAGCCAGCCACCTAGTCAGTTCTGATGACAAAACTCTGGTACGTCAGCTGCCAGTGCAGGCTTCACACACTGTTATGGTTCTTTTGGATGGAAGCCGCTGACTACCGCTGCTTCTAGTTGGCCATCATGGCCCCAGCCCCACTTTTAATTTCCTTCAAGAACTTTTCATTTGCATTTACAACTCGGCTAACTGTTTGGTACAAGAGACCTAGCTTAAGGCCTATCTCAGATACGTTCTTCACTATGCTTAACCATTTCTAGCTTTTGATTTAAAATGAGGGACATGCTATTCTTTTTTTTCACTTGAACACTTAGAGGCCACTGTAGGGTTGTTAACTGGCTTGATCTCAATATTGTTGTGTCTCAGGGAATAGGGAGGCCTGAGGAGACGGAAAGAGACTGACAAACACTCACTTGGTGAAGCAGTGGAAACACAAACAACATTTATCAATTGAGCTTGTCATCTTACATGGGTATTGTTCATGACACTCCAAAACAATTATAATAGTAATTGTTATTGGAATAATCAAAGGTCACTGATCACAGGTCACATAAGAGATGAAAAAAATCTTTTAAATGTTTGAAATATTTTGAGAATTACCAAAATGTGAGACAGAGACACAATGTGAGCACATGCTATTGGAAAAATGGCGCTAACGACTTGCTTGACACAGGGTTGTCGTAAACCTTTGATTTGGAAAAAATGCAGTATCTGTGAAGTACTATAAAAGGCAGTACAATAAAACAAGGTATGCCTGCACTAACTCCAGGATGGTGATTCCTATAGCAACATTGACATCTCAAACCCCTATCCTTGGCTTTATATGTAAACATCAACGTGAATTGCTTTAATATCAAGCAATTCACATTTCACACAGGTGGTTCAAATGAACACATCAAATGTGAACTCATTCTCCCTGCCACATCTACAAAGCTGCTTCTGTGCCCCAGTTATTGGTCTTAGTTACCCAAGCTAAAAACTGGAAGGCTTCCTGGGCCATTCTTCACCCTGTCTTAACCCATCAGAGTCCTACTAATCTTGTTCCTATTTACATCTCTCAAGTTCCCTTTGTCTATTTCATGGTCTGGTTGGGATCTTTATCCTCTTTCTCCTGGAGTACTGAAGCCACACCCTAGCTTGTCTCTCTGCTCCAGTTTTATCTCCTATAATCCATCCTATGCCACGTAGAAACCATAACAACCTTTCTAAAATTCAAAACTGCCCAATCAGCTCCTGCAACTTACCTACCTACAACCCTTCCACGGTTTCCTGTGATCCTACAGAGTTAAATCCAAGCTTGTTACATTATCCACTTTTTTAGTCTGATCTCCTATCATTCCCAGTCCACCTTTTTTATTGGCCCAGGTCATTCCCTACAAACACTTGGCTCATGCGCCTTTCTGCCTACCCAGGCAACACATCATTCCCTTTATCTGCTTTTTCTATTAAATAATTATTGGAAGTATAGTTTCTATGCCTTCAGATCTAAATTTACTAAAAGTTCCACTTGTAAGAGATACATTCCAAGATAAGATCAGAAGACTGTGCTCTTATGGTAATACTAACACATCATATATATTTACTACAGTAACGCTGATCACATATTATGGACACAATGAAGATAGGCAATGCAGTTATAAGTCTAAGTATGTATATGTGTGTATATGTCTATATATTTTCCATTAAATAGCTATCCCATGTTAGCCACTACAATTCGTAAAATTGGGAATGATTGAGAAGGGAGGCCCAGTGGTGTGAAGAAAAGAATATGGATTTTAGAAAAGAGAACTGGGTTTGGATTTAAGCTCCACCATATCTGGTTTTATGTTATAGAATAAAGAATTTAATAATTCTAGGTCCTTATCTGTAAAATGGGGACATTACCACCTCCTTATAAGGTTGCTGTTATAACATCTAATAATTTATTAATGAGTTTAATACATGACATGGCACATGGTAGATATTGAAAAAATAGTAGCTATTATCATAGTAATACTGAGCAGTTAAAAACATGACAGGCAGAAACTCACGCAGTAACTTTGATTAAAATGTGCAGTGCCATGATTAAAAGTTGCAAAATTTATCTTTGGTCCACCCACATTTATCAAACCACCCTTCTCTCCCCAACTTCCCCCATTTAATGAGATCGTGCCTCTCTTGGGCTAAATGTTAAAAGAAAATAATTTAATTCTTCTACTATAAATAAAATCCAAAAATAGAATAGGATAATATATTTTATTACCTTTATGATATACTAATCTAATTTGATTAGACACATAATAGCTCAGTTATTCAGTCAATAATTATTTACTCAGTCTCTGTAAGGTATATAATACTTAGAACCAGTATTTAAAATAATCTTCATAAAATTTACTGTGTTAAGTAAAAAAAGACAATGTGGTTATTGCTTATATGCTCATTTAAACAAATATCTACTGCATATTTACTACCTTCCAGGAATGCAAAAACGAACAAACAATGACATAATCCTTGCCTTTTGACTCACAGAAATTAGTCACACATACAACTAATAATCATAAAATATAAAAAGTACAGTATTAAAAATGAATAAATAATTGTGGGAGCTCAAAGAATTATGGTAACTAAATCCCTAAGCTGCGGGTTCGCTCCTTGCAAGGGAGGTTACATATGAGGACATAGAGGAACTGAATAGATGCACAGGGAGATATACAGAATAACAGACAGCATGAACAATTTGCCACATATGTCTGGACAGTTTCACTTTCCTGTCATGAATATATATGTGCTACATGAAAAGGGAAAAGTGGCAGGTAATTTGTCTTTATGCAGGTTTATTTATCCTTTGCTAAGAGTCAACCAATGTCTAAAACAAGGAAAACAAGTAAGCACACTCATTATTAGAATCATACCTATGCCTTACTAAACATTTATTCAAATGAACTACGTCCTCTATCTTAGAGTCATTGCTATTCATTCTGAGTCTGTAACATGTAAAACTCTGGCAAAAATGTTTGATTCTCACAGATTTATATTCTTAGCCTAAACCTTTGCTGAATATTATTTCTAAATATTTGCATCTGTTAACAAGGCTGAGGCTCTTATCTGATTTAATAATGTCTTCTTTTTCTTTATGGACAGAATAACATGAAAATATTAATAATGTATATTATAGAGGCCAGAGCTAGGAATAAAAGACTAGGCCACGCCCTAGGGCAGCTTACTCACATAGCCCAAGTCAACGAAAGAGTAATAGAGGCATTTGCCACTTGCTTTTTCTTCCTTTAACCCTTAGCTGTGTGTATGCCCCTACAATAGCCCAGGAATTCCTTCCTTTGTTTTGACACTTACCTTCATGATTAAGCTTCTATGTTCCACAGACTCACTAAAATTTGTGCCCATTTCAAATATACTTGTGATTCCATCCTCACACAAATTCATCCAGTAATGATATTCCTCACGCCCAGGAAGTCGATCCCAAAAAGTCCTGAAGGCTTCCCAGACAGCTTCCTGACACACTAGAAAATAGAGAGGTGTTTTTATAAAAAGCTAACATGCTCTGGGGTTCTCACAATGATCACAGACTGATTTATACAGATTCCCTGAGACAGTCAAGTGTCCTTTCTGGAGGGACATAGGAATGATTCTCAGTCAAAGGCTGTCTGTATGTATGTCCAGTTTAAATTTTTCATTTCTGAAGATAATTTATATTTCCCATTACTTTCTCTTGCAAAGGGAATTGATTCATCTCTTCACAAGCTGGAGTGTCTCCCCCATCTCTTTAAAAAAAAAATCCATGTTTATACTTTACAAAAGTGGAGCTGATATTGAGTATCTGGTATGTAATCCAGTGTTTTTATAATGGACACTGTGATTTTCAGTTTCCTTAATTTCACAGATATTCTCCTAAAGCCATAACTTCAAAAACTACCTTCTTTGCTTTTCAGGATCATTGGGGAAGGAGACACTGATATTTGTGAACGGACTGGAGCTTTTTGGCTAAATGCTGTGACATAACTGCATTGCATCTACTTGCTCAAAAAGTCATCAAATATTTCTGATTTAAAAAAAAAAAGTTTTTGAAATTTTCCTCAAAGCTTAAAGGAAGCAGAAAGTACTACATAAAATCAGGTAGAAGATATCACCCTGAAATTATCATTCTCAAACTACTATATTTCATATCTGAAAACAGAAAATAGTAATTACTCTTTTTTATACATAAAAAACTTATGCCCACACAAAAACCTGCACGCAAGTATTTAAAGTTGCATTTTTCATAATTGCCAAAACTTGGGGGTGATGAAGACGTCCTTCAATAGTTGAAATCTAAAATATTATTCTCTAAAATATTATTCAGTGATGTATCTAAAATATTATTTAGTGATAAAAAGAAATGAGCTTTCAAGCCATAAAAGACATGGAGAAAACTTTAATGCACATTACTAAGTACAGGAAGCCAATCTGAAATGACTGCATACTGGTGATTCCAATATCGTTCTGAAAAAGGCAAAACTATGGAGACAGTAAAAAGATCAGTGGTTTCCAGTGGCTGGGGGAGGGAGGGATGAATAGGAGGAGCACAGCAGATTTTTAGGGCAGTGGAAGTACTCCATATGATACTATGATGGAGGATACATGTTGTTATACATTTGTCAAAACCCATAGAATGTACAACACAAAGAGTGAACCCTAATGTTAACTATGAACTTCAGTTAATAATAATGTGTCAATATTGTCACATAAATTGTAACACATATACCACAATAATACAAAATGGTAGTAAAAGAGAAAAGTATTGAATGAGTTGAGGGAATATATGGTAACTCTCTGAACATGCTGTTCAATTTTTCTATAAATCTTAAACTGCTCTAAGAAATATAGCCTATTAATTTAATTTAAATATATATATATACATACACACATACATATGACTTTAAAAATGATATTCAGGAAAAATATGTTGCTGTATTAAAAGAAAAACTAATCAATGTATTTGCTAAGTTATTCCAAAGCATCAGATCTGAAAGGCTGCTAAATGAGATGTCTGCACATTTCGTATAGTACTGAATGTACTGCTGTCCTGTAACCATTCCAGAGGTGCAGGACACTGCAGGTAACACATAGACCAGGATGAAAGGGAAAAGGAGGAGAGTGGTAAGACAGAAAGTTAGATTTAACAAGAGATCAAAAAAACTATTTTTCATAGCAAGAAGATTGAATGCACATCAGGCAGTATATTGAGGTGGAACCTCTAGACTCACAGAGTCAGACGATCTAAGTTCCAGCTCTAGCTTTACTGTGTACTAGTTTGATAACCATGGGTAACTTATCTAACTATTCAAAGCTTCAATGGACTCGTCTGTCTTTTTTAACAGGATAATTACTGCCTTATTAATCTTATCTGTGAAAGTACTTCACAAATTGCAAAGTGCTGCATGAATATCATATAGTATTATCATGTTCAATTCTGATTGTCCAACAGTTATTTGATGGAAGAAGACAGTCTAAGCCAAAACAATTTTTAAGCTTTAACAGATTTTTCAGAGAAATGCAAATTAAAGTATCCACACACAAACCAGAATGACTGAAATTTTTTAACATGGACAACACCGAAATTTGGCAAAAATGCAGAGCAACCAGAAGCCTCATATTTAGTAGGAATGTAAAATAGTACAACCACTTTGAAAATAAATATTGTTTCTTATATAACAAAATATACACCAAACCTATTGTATTGGTCCATTCTCATACTGCTATGAAGTAATACCAAAGACTGGGTAATTTATAAAGGAAATAGATTTAATTGACTCAGTTCCACATGGGTAAGGAGGCCTCAGGAAACTTACAATCACAGTGGAAGAGAAGCAAACATATCCTGCTTGATATGGCAGCAGGAAAGGAAAGCGTTGAGTGAAGTGGGGGAAAGACCCCTATAAATCCACCAGATCTTGTGAGAACTTGCTCACTATCACCAGAACATCATGGGGGAACTACTCCCATGATCTAGTCATCTCCCACAAGGTCCTGCTTCCAACACATGGGGATTACAATTCAGATTAAAATTCAAGATGAGATTTTGGGTGGGGATACAAGCAAATCATATCATTCTGCCCTGACCCCTCCCAAATCTCACATACTCATATTTCAAAACACAATCATGCCCTTTCAACAGTCTCCCAAAGTCTTAACTCACTCCAGTATTAACCTAAAAGTCCAAGTCCAAAGTCTCATCTGAGACTAGGCAAGTCCCTTCCACCTATGAGCCTGTAAAATCAAAAGCAAGTTAGTTACTTTCTAGATATAATGAGAGTACAGGCTTTGGGTAAATACACCTGTTCCAAATGGGAGAAATTGGCCAAAATTAAGTCAAATATTAAAGCTCCAAAATGATCTCTTTTGACTCCATGTCTCACATCCATGTCACACTGATATAAAAGGTTGGCTCCCACAGTCTTGGGCAGCACCACCCATATGGCTTTGCAGGGTACAGCCTGCCTCCCAGCTGCCATCACAGGGTCACATTAAGTATCTATGGCTTTTCCAGGTACATGGTGCAAGCTGTTGGTGGATCTACCATTCTGGGATCTAGAGGACAGTGGTCCTCTTCTCACAGATCCACTAGTCAGTGCCCCAGTGGGGACTCTGCGTGGGGGTTCCAACCCCACATTTCCCTTCCACCCTGCTCTAGCAGATGTTCCCCATGAGGGCTCCACTCCTGCCCAGAACTTCTGCCTGGATACCCAGGCATTTCCCTACAGCCTCTGAAATTTAGGTAAAGGTTCCTGTACCTCAATTATTGACTTCTGTGCACCTGCAGGCCCAACACCACATGTAAGTCACCAAGGCCTGGGGCTTGCACCCTCTCAAGCAACAGCCTAAGCATTATGTTGGCCCACTTTAGCCATGGCTGGGATGCAGGGCACCAAGCCCAGAGACTGCATAAAGCAGCAAGGCTCTGGACCTGGCCATTTTTTCCTTCTAGGCCTCCAGGCCTGTTATGAGAGGAGCTGCCATGAAGACCTCTGACATGCCCTGAAGACATTTTCTCCATTGTCTTGGTGATTAACATTTGGATCCTCATTACTTATGTAAGTTTCTGCAACCAGTTTGAATTTCTTATCAGAAAATGGGTTTCTTTTCTATTGCATTGTCAGGCTGCAAATTTTCTGAACTTTTATGCTGTGCTTCCCTTTTAAACATAACTTTCAATTCCAAGTAATATCTTTGTGAATACATAAAACTGAATGCTTTTAACAGCACCCAAGTCACATTCTGAATGCTTTGTGGCTTAGAAATTTATTCCACCAGATACCCTAAATCATCTCTCTCAAGTGCAAAATTCTGCAGATTTCTAGGGCAGGGGCAATATGCCACCAGTCTCTTTGCTAAGACATAGTGAGTCACCATTATTCCAGTTCCACAAGATCCTCATCTGCATCCGAGACCTCCTCAGCCTGGACTTCATTGTCCACATCACTATCAGCATTTTGGTCAAAACCATTCAACCAGTGTCTAGGAAGTTTTGAACTTTCCCACGTCTTCCTATCTTCTTCTGAATCCTCCAAACTGTTCCAATCTCTGCCTGTTACCCAGTTCTGAAGTTGCTTCCACATTTTTGGGTATCTTTATAGCAATGCCCTACTATGTGGTACCAATTTTCTGTATTAGTCCATTCTCACACTGCTATGAAATACCCAAGACTGAAGAATTTACAAAGGAAAGAGATTTAATTGATTCACAGTTCTGCATGGCTACGGAGGCCTCAGAAAACTTATAATCCTGGTGGAAGGGGGAGAAAACATGTCCTTTTTCACAGGGCATCAGGAGAGAAAAGTGCTGAGTGAAGCCGGGAAAAGCCCCTTATAAAGCCACAGATCTTGTAAAAACTCACTCAGTATCATGAAAACAGAACAGGGGAACCACCCCCATGATCTAATCACCTCTCATGAGGTCCCATCCCCAACATGTGGGATTACAACCCAAGGTGAGATTTTGGGTGGGGACACAGCCAGACTATACCATCTATGATCCAGAAATTTCCTCTTAGGTATTCCTTTAAGACATCTGTAAGCATATAGCCACAGAAAGACTTATGTTCAATGCCATAGCATCTTTATTCATAATTACTTAAAAATGAAAACCACCCAAGTATCCATCAATAGAAAAATAAACGAATGGCCATATAATGGAATCATAAGGAAATTACTATTTCATGTAACAACATAGATGAATCACAAGGGGCTGAGTGAATGAAGCATTATACAAAAAAGCACATACTATTTGATTTATATAAAGTCCTAGGAAATTGAAAATAATCTATGAGTTTAAAAAATGATTTAAAGAGTGGCTGCATACTAGAATGGTAAGTATTTGGGAAGGGATATAAGAGAACTTTCTGGGATAATAATATCCTAAAACTTGAGAGAAGTTTGGGTTAATATGTATTAGTCAAAAGTCACCAAGTGGTACACATAAGATTTATGCATTTTACTCTGTAAATTTCACCTTTCAGAAAGTA